GTCTCTGGCCAGTCTAGATGGATATGTGCTTGGTCAAGTAGCAACTAGGGTGTCATCTGGCATAGCTGCTAACCTGTCATGTGAACACAGAGGGATGGGCATGAAAGCTCATTGGAAGCAGAGTCCTCAGGCCCTGAGACCAAGAGACAGCCCAGCCTCTGCAAGTGCAGACTGTAACTATACCTGCAGGTGGGCACTGTACAGTGAGCTGGGAAGGCTATAGTGAGCAAACCTGTCACCAATGCTCTTTCATGGCTCCTTTTCTGAAGAGCAAATCATGAATGAGTTTTGGCAGAAAACCCTTATGTGTATGGTCATAAGGGTAATATAATGTGCTAAGGCATCACCAAAGATGCATGGGCATGTCAATGATAAAGGACCTTTTCAACAAAGGGTGCTGTGAGAACAGATGGACATATAGAAAAGAATGGAGTTAGATTCCCTTCCTCACTTCATATACACACACATGTGTACACACATACACGTGTACACACACACACACACACACACATCCTCAAAATATATCAGAACTCAATGCAAAGCTAAAACCATAAACTCTTAGAAAAAAATAGAAATACATCATTTTGGCCTTACATTTAGTAGTGTTTACTAATATAAGGCACCAGCTAAGCAACAAAAGAAGTAATAAGTAACTTGAACTTTGTTGAAAATAAAAGCTTTTGAGCATCAAAGAATGCACTATGAAATTGAATTGACAACTCCCAGAATGGAAGAAAATACTTGCAAATCGTAGATTATAACTCAGAAATGACTCTTACCCCAAATATAGAAAGAACTGTTACAACTAAGCAACAAAGAAAATCCCCCCAAAAGTGTCCAAAGACTTGAATATGCACTTCTCTAAAGATCATTATGTTTGCAAAACAGTCATCATTTATCATTAAAGTATTTCAAATCAAAGTCATAACAAGAGATGACTTAATGGCTAGAAGGATGGCTACTATCAAAGACATGGACAACAGCTTATGTTCTCAGGAACAGAAACACACAGTGACCTGGGGAAGAAAATGTAAAGGATGTGGCAGCTTTCTAGCAGAGTCTGGCAACTTCTTCCATGTTAGACCAGAGACTTACTAAGTGACTCAGCAATCCCACTCCTAGATGTGGGAAACAAAGTTAGACATGCACACAAAAGTTTGTATATGAGTGTTCACATCAGTGTATTCAAATAGCCAAAAAGTACAAGTGACTCAGTCAAATAACAAAATAGATTAATAAATACAGCATATCCATCTAGTGTAATGCTGTTCTGCAATAGAAAGGAATGGAGTACTGATAACATGCTACAACAAGTGTGAACCTTGAAAATATTAGGCCAACTCAAAAAGCCAGTCACAAAAAGACAGGGTTTAACCAAGTTGCTGAAGGCCCTGATTTTATCCTTGATGAAGGAAGGGCCACTTGGCACTTTGTCCCATGTGAAGACAGCCACGCACCTCTCCAGGCACAGTTAGAGACAGGCTTACCAAAAAGTTCCTAGGAGAAGCCAGGTTTCACAGCATGCTTTCCATAGTTCCTCCCCCAAGTTCCCTGGGGCCAATTCCTTTCAACACCTGTCCCTCCAGCAGGTCCTCCAGACAGAAGACAGCATCTTTCAGAATATTCCTTGTCATTCCATGCCATTGTCCTGCCTAGACTTCTCATTCTTGCCTTCCTCTGGACCTCACCAGAGAGCCACTTTCAAGGTTCCTCAGTACAGAGCTCACTGCTCTCAGGCAGCAGGCCCTGCAGCCTCCAGGAGGTGCTGTCCTTAGAGGCATGGGCTAATGGAAGAGAGGGGACTCAGGAAAAAAATGCATCATGTAATTTATATCATGGAATTTTCCTATGGGTACCTAAAGTATATTCATATTTTGAATAGAGGTTTACATGTCCCAAAGAAAGTTGTCATTTCTTATTTCCAGGAATCTGTCACTTTAAAACACTCTAAGAATAGGAGGCCACATTTGTCATATTTTTGACCTTCATAAAGTTATATGTTGGAAAAAAAGACAAAAAAATAAAAAGTTGCAAGTTGTCCTCTTACCCAATATTAATATAGCTAATGGCACAATGACTCTTTCATCCAAAATTTCAGGCAAGGATTTATGAACAACATTCCATTACCAATAAAGCCCTCCCCAATGAATCCTCAAATGGAAACCTCACCAGACTGGATATCCCAGGATGTGGCACCACCTAAAACACCTATTGAAATCAGGCCACCTGCCATCTTCACTGAAAACCCACCTCAGTGAGAACTCACAGCTCCCTCACTGGCACCCCTCAGTTTTTTTGTTTTTCATTTAAATGTTTTGTTGTGGTTAAAATATACATGATGTGAAATTTTCCATGTTTACCATTTTTAAAAAAACATTTTTAGTTATAGATAGACACAATACCTTTATTTATCTATATGTGGTGCTGAGGATCGAACCCAGGATCTTGAAGGTTCTAGGTGATCACTCTATTGCTGAGTAAAAACCCCAGCCCTCATTTTTTAAAAAAACATAATCCTTTTATTGAATATCAGTACTCTCAGGTCCATAAGCATATTTGAGGAATATTGATATCCCCTGAGTATATGAATTTAATTAATGAAATGAATTCTACCATACCAATTTCCTCTATTGTAGAAGAGTAGATGCTGGCCAAGTGCTAGGAAATATTTCAGGCCTTTGATAAAACCACTATAGAATCAAAGAATCCCTGTAATAAGTAGAACATTATAAAATAATTCAGGTCTAACTATTATTGTTATGTATTTTTGGCTTATATTTCTTTGATAATAGAGATATACTCATTTCCTTTTTAGATTATTGTTAGTGGTTGTTAAGACATAATCATGGGCTTGGGTCTTGGCTCAGTAGCAGAGCTCCTGCCCAGCATGTGTGAGGCACTGGGTTTGATTCTCTGCACTACATATAAATAAATGAAGTAAATGTCTATCCACAACTAAAAAACCTTTATAAATAAAACAATAATATACTTATTAGTTTCATTCACTGGTGCTATATTTTTCCACATAAGTCATGTAAAAAAGACTATTACTTTAATTATGACATCTCAAATATCAGGAGCAGGACTCTTTTATAGTTGTGAGAATTTTGATTTTTATAATAATAGCCCAATTATTTAGGTAAAGTGCATATAGATATGTACTGTGTATATGACTTCATTTTTGGACTTAATACTTTCTTATTTTTCTATAAGTTGCCAATTTTTAATATTGTTTTTATTTTATTTAACTGTCATTTTCAGAGCTGCAAACAAAGTTGGAACCTGATTCAATAAATGGTGTCATATTTAGAAGGTCCTTTCAGGTTTTTCTTCTGAAACTATAACTTTTTATAGGACTGTATCATGGTATTTAGGAATTTCAGTTCTGTTTTCAACCTAAAATCACCTTACTTCCAGTTTCTTGGTGTCAAACATGAAATATACTAGGAACTATTCTCCTGTAGTAGTTAGAGCAGAAGTAGTTCTGAATTAACATTAGTGGGGGGTCATCAGTCCATTTTATATAGACCATGAATGTAGACATGTCTTCCATTCATTTAGAGCAAATAATGTTTTATGCTAGAAAGTAAAAATTATAGGATTAATTTAACAATCAGCGTTACTCTTGAGGGAAAACAGATTAGATTTATTGAACTTCTAGTGTTTCTTTTTCAATGCCCAACTTTTTTTCTCATTTAAATTAATCATGGGCTCAAGTATCACTGAAAGTCTCCACTGGCCATCAATTGTGACAAAGCTGCTTCTTATATTTAAGAAGAAAATTATATTATGGCATTTATTTTAGACTTAAATGTATACTCTTTACAAAAACCTGAAGAGCATATTTAACACTTGAAAAAAAAACTTTAACCACTAATTCTTAATTAGGGTATTTTTAATAAATGTTCTTTCTTGGTCTCTAACAGGGAAACATTGTTCAAAGTGTCATCTCCAGACTGGTGCAGTTTTGTAAATTGTTACTTATATGCAATGATATAGAAATTGAGATTAAGAAATTCAAACATTTATAGTAGTTTAGCAGAGTCATTTTATGACTATCGGATCTACCAATAATAAAATTTGGAGTTATGTCTTTGTTTCTTCATTTCAGTGTCCTAATAATTCATTTCTATTTTAAAACAAAGACTAGGACAAAACAAAGACTAGGACACTCCCAGTATCAGTGAACCACAGCAAAATGGGTACAAATTTTTTTAAAAAAAAAAGATGTAAGGGAAAACAGAGACAGAGTGAAGTTTCCAATTTCTACAAGTTTTCTGATAACTGAATTTTTTATTTGAAATCTTCTATTTCCATGACATGTATAATTGTGTTTTCTGATTTACTCTTAATATGCTCTAGTATTTTTTATGGAAAAACTAGCTGATTTTTATTATCAATGCCAAACAAGATTTTATATCAATTAAAATCTTTCATTAAGCATAAAGTTACTTTCACATTTGCTACAATCACAGTAAATATGTTTCTTTGTATAAAGGGACAGCCTTTGTTTGGAGTTTAAAATATCCCCAACTGCAAGATTGCATATATAAAACTCAATTTCTTGTTCATATAATAGTGCATTAATCAAATTAAATGTTGTACTCTCTAGAATAAGATAAAATGGAAATAATTTACTCATAAGATTCATATTTAAACCATGTTTATTTACAAACTACTAAGAATTGTAATCCCATTAAGCTTCAATTGGAGAAAAAGTATAATCATTTAAATAAAAGCAGTTACTTAAACTATAAATGAGAGATAAGTTACTTTTGAAGGCAGATACAAAATATAGTCAGGTTTCCTTTGTGCTTCTGGATGTTCAATAGCAGGCTATTTGAAGGTGGAATCAACCCTGAAGGGAACTCACTTCTACTTTCAGAATATGGGGGTGGGATGCGGGGGAAGAAATCCAGCTCTTGGGGGGGGGGATAATGAGGAAAACACCACAGTCCCATTGGGAATGGAGGGGGTGGTGGGCCCAGTGGAAAATATCCTCAAGATGCTCCATACATGTTTCTTGGAGGAGGTGGAGGAAAAAAGGTCCTCTTCTCATGAACTGACTCCTTGGATCCACTGGAAACAATGGACCTCTGATTGGAAGGAAAGGTGAGAAAGCAAATCCAGAGCCACTTACTTCATTTTCAGGGGGGAGAGATGAATCAGGCAAATTGGAATCACCAAGATTGACTTTGATATCATTTCTACTGTATTTAATATCTGAAGACGTAGACCCCTCCATTTTTTCCAAAGGCAGCATAGTGGAACTTTTGAATTCTGATGGTGTACCATAATTATAATAACATCCATCTTGCCTTTGTAGAGGAAGCTGTGGATCAGAATATGTTTGGCCTGGTGGAGGGATCATTATCATATGGGCCTGTTGACATGGAGGTGCCAGGGGTCCAGTGTCAGAAGGTGCTCTCTGAGGATCAGTTAACCTATTGCAGTTTGATTCTCTTCTTTCATTGCTAGTTGGATGATCCAGAGAATTCTCTGGGCCCCTTGAGCCTCTTCCTTCTCCCACTGTCACCAAAGGTGAGAGTATGAGTGGACCCTTCTTTTCCACATAAGGTCTCATTTCACATGAAGGTTGACTCAATGGTGAGGGACCATTTGGAGAATGACCTCTGCCAAAGGCTGTATTTGAAACATCAAGTGCAGAAGGATCTTTTTCTGCAAGTTTAAATGTGAACTCCATTTCAGTTAATTTTTGTCTGTTGTGATCATTTTGTTTTCTTAAATCATTGAGGTATCTTTCAGCACTCTGAGCTGCCAACTCATTACCATGTGTTTTTTTCTCATAGTACTTAACATGCCCCTGATAAAAATGAATGGTTCTCTTCAATTCTTCTTCAAGATCATTGGCTCATTTTCTATAGGTCTCCAGCAGTTTAGTTGTATGGCTGATCTTTTCCTCCACTTTGGAAAGTTTCACTTCTTGCTCTACCTGGTAATTTTTCTCTCCTATTAGTTTCCATTGGAGTTCCATTACATTTTATTGATATATTTCCATCATGACTTTAAATTTCTGCTGAAGATTCTGATTCTCACTTTCAAATTGTGTATTTTCTGCTTGCAAAGATGCTTGTTCTGTCTTAAGATTTTTAATATGTCCTATAACACCTTCCTTTGTCTCAATTACTTCAGATAATAAAGTAAAAATTTGATTTCCTTCTCTTTCTAAGGTTTTAAAAGAGGCCTTTAACTTTGCAACATAAACCAGTTTCTTCAAAGCCCCTTTTGGCTGATCTTCAAAGTGAGCACCAATTTCTGATTCACTCTCCATTTCCAACTCCAAGTTACCATCATCTTTTAGGACTTCTGCAAGCACAGGAGCCCAATATTTCATCTGCAGCAAGTGTTCAGTCAGAGATTTAATGTGATTTTCTTTATCTCTTAGAACTTGTTCTGCATGATCTTTAGAGTGTTCAAGTATCATTTTCTGTTTATTGAGGCCATTCACTTTTTCTTTCCATACTTCAACTTCTTCTAAAAGCTGTTTCTGACTTTCCTGAAGGTAGAAATTTTCATTCAAAGCCTCTTTTATTGCTACTGTAACTGCTTCTTTATTCATTTTAAATATTCTCAAGGTTGTTTTAGCTTGAAATTTGAGTGATTTTGATTCATCTTCTAGGGACTTAATTCTTTTTAATATATCCACCATCAATTCATCCTGTTGAAAATATTTAGTTTTCTCTTCTTTTAGCTTTTTTTCTAGAAAGAGTATTTCATCCTCAAGTTTAGATATGGACCTATCCAGGTTTTCATATATTGTCTCCAAATTTTCTGATTTTATTGACTCCTTCTCCAAAATGGTATCCTTTAAAGATGACTCTAAGTCTTCGTAGTCTTTTTGAGCAAGACCAACCTTTTCAAGTAGTTCACATTTTTCTTCAATTAGTCCAGAAAGTTTTAGAGCAAGCTGTTTTTCTCTTCTCATGTAATGCCTGCTTCTCACAGACTGATAACTTCTCCACAAAAACAAGAGAACAACAAAAAATCCAATTGTTGTACATATCATCAATTCCCAGGGACAGCCATAAGGACTAGGGTGTGTTTCCATGTCTTCAGACAAGGCAGACCACAACCCTGCTTACTTCTTCCAGGACCACCCCCAAGTAGGGCTGAGGGGCAGCCATTGCCCTTCCATCACGATAAGGCTACTTTGGCTATTCCCTCTGCTACCACACCATGCCCCTCCATGCCAAAACAGGCTGTGGACACTCAGGCCTTTGGTCAGGATCAAACCTGCACCAGGCAATGGAGCAGATCATTGTGAATCAGCGGTTGGGGGCGGCTCCATGCATGGGCATGGGGAACCCTGGTCATGGTCTCCCAGGGGCCTAGCACACTCATGCTGCCTGTCAGAGAAGTCTTTGCCCTTCACTGTGCTGTGAATCTTGAAGCAGCAAAGGTTCAAGCCTGTCCCAATCAAGCCAGAGAGGATTCCTCTCCAGGTCACCCACCCATTGGTTTGGTTTAGGCCAGAACTTATTTTGTGCCATTCTGTACAGTCATAATATCACCCAGCTTGATGTCACTAAAATTCTAAAGCTCTGTAAAAAATTTAAAGAGCTAGTATGTCATATATTTATATTTGTACCACTTGTCCTTTTGTTTTAATGACTCATTCCTTTCCCAACCCTCCTGTCCCCTATCTCTCTCTCTCCTTCCTTCCTTCCTTCCTTCCTTCCTTCCTTCCTTCCTTCCTTCCTTCCTTCTTCAGTTCCTTTTCTTGCAGTGTTGGTGGTTAAATTTGAAGGCCTAGTACATGCTGCACAAGCTCTCTAGCACTGAGCTATATCTCCAGGCCTGTTGACACTTTCTGTAGAAGCCATGTGAATTTCTGTAGAAGCCATAGAAAACTTCTTGTGTTAGACTATTTTAAAAGTAATTTTAGAAGAGTGCAAACATGGGCACAAATCAGTTTTGATAAGTTATTTTTTAAGAATTACAGCATATGCAATGTTTCTAAAAAGAAGGAGCTTAAAACTTGAGTTGGTTTTCATGTCAGTTATTGTAGACTACTATTTAAGAGTCATCCAAATCTTTTTTCAGATGTTCTTTTCACTTCTCATAGGATGTAAATACTTCTAAGAAAACTGGTCATTATAAATATACAGCAATGAAAAGGATAAGATAAGTCAGTGTTTGCATCAAACAAAACAGAATAAAATGTTGCATGGGATTCTCATACAGAGACAGGGGACACCAAAGTATTCAATAGGAAGCAGTGTTTATTTGTGTGCATCCAGCTTCAGTGTATTCTTATTCAAAGGCTCAGCATTTAGTGTAGGGAATGATCCCTTATATATTCTAGTTAGTTTCCTTTTACATACTAGCCTTTGTCTTCATATAAGGTAATACACATTCCTGTTTGGGCATTCTATTTCTATACTACAAAGTAGCAAGAATGTTCAAAACTGATCTCCAGAGGGCTCACAATGATACAGACAGCATCATATTCTTTTTCTTTTGTTCTGAGAAATCTGTACCACAAAATGTAGCTCAGTGGTAAAGCACCCCTTGGCTTCTATTCCCAGTACCAAACCAAACAAATAACAGATGAACTTCATTTAGGGCAGAGAATTTAGTATTATAATGAGTTAGAGTGAGCAAAGTTTACCCTAGGTCACTTTAGAAAAGGAGCTGTGTATCTTTGATTGGTTTAAGCTGGTTCTTCCAGGCCTTTTCGAAAGAGCAGTTTCTGAAACAAAGAAACAACTTCAAGTGATAGCAGTGAGCAGCCCTCTACCTGCAATCACACGTGTTCTTAAGTTCCTGCCTGGCAGCTGACCACTTTGCAGACTGTTTTCTTGTGGGGAGAAAAGTCTGAAGCAGGGCAAAACTTGACATCTGGATCCCTTGGAGGATCCCCTTCCTCTTAGCTATTCTAACTAACTCCCTGGCAGCACCTCTAGTGTCTAAGATGCAGAGATTTTGAATGGCCTCCGAAGCTAGGACATTCAGCCCTGATTCCAGGCCCTGACCTCATGCCATATCCCTGGGTTGTGGTTGTTTTCTAGGGCACCTCGAGGCACTGATTTTGGAGGATTTCACTTCTATCCCACCTCTATGCCATAAAGTTCACTGAGGGCTTCTATTGCAGTAACTGGAATTGGGGAGGAGTTTCTCCAGACAGGAAATTCAGCCTTCCAAGCAGGCTGTCTTGACCTTGACCCTACAGAATGCATTGCCCTTGGAGCTATCCAGTAGGTCACCTTTGAGCTATAACTTATGGGGTTGAGTCTTAGCAATTGTTGCCAGACAAGTGTTTCTCCCTTGTGCCCAGGATCTCCCTTGCTGAGGCAGTAGTTACACTTTGATGGAGGCTGAAGGCCATCTAGGTGCCAGCCACTCACTTTTCTCACTTCCTCTGCCCACTGGTATCAGAATCAGCTTTCTCTCTCACAGCCTTTTGCCCAAGGCCTAGGTGACCCAGGAGGCTTTAAAGATTAGTTGCATTCTGTAAAGGGACACTTTGTTCTGAGAGGATGCAGTGATAGGAATCACCTGCATGTTTTCTTCTAGACCATCTTGACAATGGGGTTGTGATGGGTGCAGTCAGGAATTCCTTTAAATCCACTGTCATTTGTGGCTAGAGACTGACTCAGAATCCTGTTGTCCTGGACTAGAGAAAGCATATTTGGGCACATTATAAAGAAATTGTTGGTTAGGGGTACAAAGGGGTGTGGGGGAAGCTTGAAAACACCTCTGAAGACCTTCCTGGGACACTTGGTGAGAGGTGCCAATAGGAGAGGCAGGGCTCCTGACCCACCAGCTCATGAGCCATTACTGCTCAATAGCCATAGATTAAAAGCCACATCTTCATGCAGTGGCAACTGCTAAGTGGTGACTGAAGCACAGAAGGCCAGAGCAGTTCAGGTGTTGCTGGGAAGGTTTCAGGGTCCAGCAGTGATGTCAGGCTTGCTGGCACTCACTGGTATGAATCAAGAGGTGGTAGCTAAGCTCTCCAGACCCTGAGTGTGGATAAGGGCAGAGATACAATCTGATACAAATAGCTCCTTCTTATTCTGGGACTTCTGACCTTTTCTGAGTTTAACAGTTAGATTCTGGCATGTGCAGAATCATATGTAATAGAAGAGAAACTGTCACTGAGAGATGACTTGTGTTATGTCCAAGTCACACATCTCAGGAGTGGGTCAACCCGGGTTGAATTCAGACATTGTCTCTTGACCCAGTCCCTCACACACTCAGCTCAGGGAGCTGCTGTCCGTGGTGTGTCAGTGGCTCTAGGGGATGGTCCTGGTGACCACTGTGTGTAGTCCCTTGTGGCAGGATTTTGCACTCACTGTGCTCTGCCATCCTCCTAAGGACCTTGGATAATGGTGAACTGTATTGAATAGGAGAGAAAATAGAAGCCCCAAGATGTGCTTGGATTTGGCAATGAGCACACAATTAGTAAGCAGCAAACAGGGACTAGACCAGGGCATCTAAAGGCTCTTTGTTCATGGGCCTGGCCTCATGACTTTTTATTGATGGGGAAGCTCTTGGAAATCAGGAGTAGACCTGCCTGTGTGGGAGGAAGATGAACATTGAAGGTGGAGTCTGACCCACTTCCTGTGTCTGTAGCACCTGTGAGGTTGGCTTTGACTCTCTTGAGTCATGTCCTGGGGCCAGATGGGGAATCCAATATAATGCTTTGCTTTCCCTTTTGATAGTACCATAATGGGAAGTTGCTTAAAATTAAATTTTTAATAAATACTTAAAATATGTCAGGGACTAGAAGGAAATTCTCCTTCAAAGATTAGCCTGACAGCCCCCTGGGAGACATCCTGCCTGGGAGGCATCCTGCAGCTACCTATCTCCCTGGAACATCCTGCGGTTATCAGGATCATCAGACATCTTGCACCTGGCAGTTTTACCACCCACATCCAGCAGTTGTTGATTAGAGAGCTTCCCCATCCCCAGCATATAAATACCCCTGTGTGAACAATAAAAGTTTGCAGCTTGATCAGAACTTTTGTCTTGCTGTCATCCTTCTGTGTCTCTTGTCCCTTCATTCCTCCCCATCTAGGTTCGCTGCCCACGTTGATGTGTCCTGCCGGACGGGACAAAAATATTTATTGGTGCTGGGATCGAATTGAGGGTTCTTCTTCATGCTATGTGCAGACACTCCACTGAGCTACTTCTCCAGCTCCTGATCAGATTTAGGAGGAGGCTTTCCTACTTACAGAGGTTAGCCAAGATGAACTTAATGAGTACAGTCAATTTCTGGGACTTAATGGGAAAAGTATTTGCCAAAGAGTAAGGTGTGCAAGTTTGCTCTATCGCTGCCAATTTCTGTTTTCAGAAGGCTAGTGTTGATATACATCATGGTATTGTGAGTGTAGAAGAAGCCATCTTGAGTGCTGTTAATGAGCTAGAAAGAGTTGCTGTTCCTAATGTCTTGCTGCAAGGAATACCCAGTTGCTGTGTAGTGACAGGACATCTAGTCCAGGGTTTCTCCTGTCTCCAGGCTGAAGGATGACTTTTAAGCCTTCCAAACTGTTGCACACCAACACTGGTGTCACATACAATGAAAGTGAGTAACTAAGTAAATGAAGTGGAAGAAGTCAAAGACACTCTTGGACCAAGCCTGTGGGCCATACACTGGATGGTGTGGCCATGAGGCTAGGGAGAATGTCCTGCTCTCAAATGGCTTATCTGATTGGTCCGACCCACAAGGAGGGTACTCTCCATAGGATTGATAAGTTGTTTGTAGTTATTTCTGTGAAGTCCCCTCACCACACTATCAGATCAGTGTTTGGTGAAGCAGGAGATGGGATTCTTAGCGAGCAAGAAGTTCATCTTTAGAATTCTGTCTACTGGAGTATGTATCATGTCATTGAATTATTGAGACAACTTTTCAGTAACATTATTTTTATCAATTTAGACAAATAAACTGAGGATTGGATAGGTGAAGCCATAAGTTCACAGAGCTTTAAGTGGGAAAACCAGGGTTTAAACTCAGGAAGCCTCATTCCAGTGCTCACCGTCTTAATATCTGCACTGTGTGCATGAAAAATGGTCAACATCCACTAGCAGGGGGACTGAGGAAGA